CTTGAAAGCAAGGAATCAAGCCTAGAAGAAGAAGAAGAAGATCTTGGGCTCCAATTTGTAATATCTCTCTTCTCTCTCTAGAAACTCACCCTCTTCTCTTGGGTTTAAGAACCCTAGGTCTAGGTTTTGGTTTGTTGTTGATGTATGTGACAAATTCTATGTTTGATTGATGATTTTACTTAATTGATGGATGTTTTAATGAATTGCATGAGTTGGGTTTCCATTTTCATGTTTTGAGCTTTTGACCTAGGAGGGAGAAAATCTCCTTAGAGCCCATTATTTGCGTTTTTGGGTCACTCCTCGTCCTATATCGTCCGGGTAATCCCCGATGGAGTAGATTCCATCAATCTCCTACGATATAGGGTTGCCCTAGGTTGAGTAGAGCACACCCCATTCATCGATTCGCCGTTCCGGGTCATTCCCGAGGGAGTCAATCTCCTAACGGTAGAGTATTTGACTCGATCGAGCTAGGAGGATACCCAACATCGATCCATAGGAAGGACCTAGGATGATTCAACCCAAGAGAGCTCCAAACCTTGTAAATAGCTAGGTTAGTGGGTAGCTAGGTTGGTTAGTGTAGCTTTTTCCTATTCAATACTCTAGGATGGCTAGATAACGAACCCTAAACCTGAAGTAGGGTAAGCCTAGATCCTCGTGGTACAATAAATTATTTTTTTGCTTGCCTTATGCTACACCCGGTTGGCAGTTATACTTGGCCGTCGATCGGGATGTTGTAGTTGGAACGAGTCATCCTCTGTTGTGAAAAACACAACCTTGTGTCAGAGGCGGGGTTTTTCCTCTGCACTTCACATAATCGTCATTTTGAAACACGACCTCTTCAAATTAAAACACGGCCGACTTTTTGGAGTAAGAGGCCGTGTTTTTATCCCTGTATGGGTCTTATTGGGGAGGAGCTCATATTTTGAGGGAGATTCCACTTTGAAGGGAAAAATAGACTTCTAGAGAGAGAAAGCGACGAAGGACAAACCATATGAGCAATTTCAAGGTGTGTTTTCACCATTTATGCTTGGATTTCGCCCCTTGGAGTGAAGATTGACATCCCTGAGCTTATCATATACATCATTATGAGTATGATTCCTCTAATTTGTGTTTTTCTCTCTATCTCTATGGAGTAAACCTCCTTCTCACTTGGGTATGAAGAACCATAGTTCCATGTGTTAGGGATCTTGCTTGTAATGACTTTTGGAATGTTATACTAGATGATTTTAATCGATTGAGGTATGTTTATTGAGTCAATTGAATCCTGATCAAATTCTCTTGACTTCTGCTTTAACCTATGATAGATAGAATCTAATTAGGTTGATAGAGATTCTTCAATTGATAGTAGTGAATTTATTTTACAAGAGTCAGTCAATTCTTTGCTTTGTATTGGAATTCTTTCTAAGTAGAGAAGATCTGTGTGAATCGCCTTAGCAGTATATCCCGGTGAAGGCTAGGTGCCTGGCGTTTATTCTTTCTAAGAGGGTTTGGTCAGCTTAAGAGATTCCAAGCTATTTTCGGATCTTCCGCAGTCTAATCAACTGTAAAACAACCAAAGGGAATTACAACTTGGACCTAATTGAAGAGCTAGGGGGACTCATTCCCGAGTGACTCTTCTCTTGCTTTAGAAATCCGAACAACTTGCTGCTTTCTTTCTCCTTTAGTTTAAACTCATTCTCACTCAACTTTCTCCGCCATATAACATAATTACACGGATTATACAGTAAATCTAGACCTCGGGTTGATAAATAAAACTGAACCCACTAAATTGCATTTCCATACTGCGATTATACTTGGTCGTAGTTTGGTGTTGTGTTTTAGCTAGCCAACTACCGTTGCTTGTTGGTTCGAGAGACAACATGATTATTGGACGGGCCTATGAGGATTTTTTTCAGAGGGTTGGGCTGATAACGCCAACTACTCATGTATTGGATTCGAACCAATACCAAGCTACTGTTCCTTTTTTAGTAGACCATGAGGTATTAGATTAGCTTTTGATTGCTCGCTACGCCCCTTAGGTTCCTGGGATAGTATCTTTATAGGATAAAAGTGATAAGAGACGTTTCAGTATAGCTGTAACCAGCCTTCCTTAGGTGCAGAGCTTCCATTCACGATGGGAAGTAGGTAAATCGTCTTTCTCTTATAGGGTGACAATGTATGTACCCTGATCTCATGAATGTGAATTTTTTTTTCTCTATAAGGGTGACATACCCTTATAGAGAAAAAAAAATTCACATTCATGAGATCAGGGTACATACATTGATGTAGTAGTGATTATATGTTTGTATTTAGTAGTGATTTATCCAGCAGTGATTATTCTTGTAAATATTAGTATGTAGTAGTCATTTTAAGTAGTTTTTCTTATAGCAATCCGGTCTTTTGTTCATTATTAGTAGTGTTTTACTTATTAGTATTTTTTAAATACGTAAAATCACTGCTATAACTCACAAAAACACTACTAATATAAATCATTTATCACTATTAATTAAAAATCATTAAATCACTACTACTAACAATTAAATCACTACTAAAAATCAATAAATCGCTACTATAAACAGCCAAAAATATTATTAATCTAAGTATTAATGAATTTAGTGGTAATTTTCGATAAAAGATGGATAATAAAAACAGGAGAGAGAAAATTAAATTTGATTTAAATTAATTTATTTTTTAATATTTCAAAATACCAAATAAGCCCTTTATTAGCACGGTGCTAACTCTTATAAAGTTAGCACTCTAACTTCTCCCTCCAATAGTAGTTGTTTTTGCTTCTACAATCCACACAAACAAAAACACAATACATCATATCTATCAGTTAGTTAGCGGGGGCAGGTACAATGGGGCGAGTATTAACAATTATCATACTCGTACCCTACCCGCATTTTTAGAACCGGGTATTACCAATCTGAATTGCTATTTATAGCCCTAACTTTTTCTTATTTATAGCCATAAGAGAATATAATTACTATTTTACCCTTCCTTCCTTTTAAAATATTGAACTTGTTACAACTCCAACCAAACACTCCCTTCCCTCCCAATTCAACTCGCCGGATTCCTCCCAGATTCCTCCCAAATATTCTCGCCGGCGACGACGAGCTCTCGCCGGAGACGTGACTCGCCCCTTCTCTCCTGTCGCCGGTTTCCTCTCAAATACGACGACCACCTCTCGCCGGAGACGACGACCTCTCTCCGGAGACGAAATCAGAGCGCTTCGCGAAGGTAATTTTTAATTTTTGCACGAAGGAGGTGACGACCGGCCGTTTGACCCGCCGCCGGCAAGGGCGACGTCCTGCCCAGGCGTCGCCGGCGGCGGACGAACGTCCGGGTCAAACGGCTTTCGACGGCAGTTTGACCGCCGGCGGCGAGGGCGACGTCCTGCCCAGGCGTCGCCGGCGACGGACAAACGTCCAGCCAGGACGTTCGTCCGTCGCCGGCGACGAGTCAAATAAATTTTTTTTTAATTTAGGTTAATTATTTATTATAATTATTATGATTTAATGTAGGTTAATTATATACTTTAAATTAATTTAAAAAATTACTTTAATTATCTCCTTTAATTATGTAGGTTAATTATATGCTTTAATTATTATGATTTAATGTAGGTTAATTACTCTAATTAATTATGTCGGTTAATATTTTCATTTAATTATGATTTAAATTATGTATGTTAATTATCTTCTTTAAATATGTTAATATTTAATATATACGAAAATTATGTCGGTTAATGTTTTCATTTAATTGAAATTAGATAGGAAAGGTAAATTTTAATTGATAAATATAAGAAAGTTTAATAATTTAAATATAGAATTTTATTTCATAGTAAGTATTAATTGTTGTACGAACCTTAAATTGCAATTGACAATTTAAGCAAGAAAATTAAGTTAGAATTCATCGTGAAATACATTACAATTTTGAACATTATATTGTGATGGGAATTTTATTGTAATTGAAATTATATACGAATGTTAAATTATAATAGACAATTTAAGCAAGAAAATTAAGTTAGAATTTATTGTGAAATTCATTATAATTTCGAATATTATATTGTGATGATAATTTTATTGTAATTGAAATTATATACGAATGTTAAATTATAATAGACAAATATACGAACCTTGAACATTTGAATATAAAAATTTATTATATGAGAACTAACAATTATCATATGAACATTGCTAATATGAACATTGCTAATAACTATTACATGATGATAATAATCTGACAATAATTTTAATTCAAATTTTAATAGGTAGAAAATGGTGGATACAAGAGGAAAGAAGAAGTTGAAGGAGGTAGAGCCGTCGAGGGTGACCAACCGTATAGTATTGAGGTCGCGTCGTGAGGAAGCCGAGAATGAGCGTCGACGTGCTAGACTTGTGGAGAATCCTTCTCCCCCGCCTCCCGTGCCTTTTGACTTAGATACAGCTTTTGAGGGAGTGGATGAGTATGATGGCAGTGATGACAATTATGATGACTTCCCGGATGTAAATGATGCTTTCTTCGAGAGCAACCATCCGAGTGCAGGTGGTTCTAATGGACCTAGATTAGAGCCCGAGGCTCCTTTTGTGTCTTCTTCGTCCTCTCAGTTTGTTCATGTTAGACGTGGGGCTCGTGGTCGTTTTGAGTCATCACGACCCGATTCGGAGGAGGGCAGCACTAGTAAGAGGAAGAAGGCGAGAGAAGCTGATTCGTGGATTCTTGACAGGAGTGGGCCGGGGGGGCCTATCGATCATAGCCTGATTCCTAGTTTTGGAGGTCATGTGGCTTATCGATTATGGGATGATGGTTTAGGGGCTCGCCGAATGGATTCATTCAAGTTGTCGACTAGAGCATTGGCAGTCAATTATTTGAAAGATTACAAATTTCAGAGTGAGGGTGTTGCAGCATTGGTTGAGAGGACAGGGTTGCGCAAGTTGTTGGACTGCTCGATCCAGCACTTGGACGGACCTTTACTTGTGGCATTTGTGGAGAGGTGGCAGCCTGACACCAACACCTTTCACATGCCTTTTGGAGAGATGACCATCACGCTCCACGACGTTGCAGTGTTGCTTGGGATTCCAGTCGGTGAAGATATGGTTGTAGGGAATGAGAGTGTGAAAGCACAGTTGTGTGAGATGCTGAGGGTCGAACAATTGAATGAACGATCCAAGCCTTCGCTTAAGAGTGGGGGTTTAGTGTGTGTTGTCTCCCTTATCTTCCGGATCTCCCTAAAATAAACACATTTATCTTATTAGTGATACTAATTTTGAAATGTTTGTTGTAGATTAAATTATTCCAATTTGATATAGATTGAGTCTTACATAAGTTTCAACACTTTTCATGACTTGTAATGTTTGTTGTAAATTGAATTCTTACAATTTGAAAATGGATTGAGTCTTATATAAGTTTTAGAAAATTTGATGACTTGTTTGCAATATTAGATTTTATATTTATCTTCTTATTAAAAAATATTAAACATGTTATTAACAATTATTCAATATTCGAACATAAACTAATCCAATACATTTTCAACAAAAAATTAGCACATTTAGCATGATTAACTACCAAATCCTAATATTTCAATATGCAATAAAAAGTTTTTAACAAGTAGACACGTACTCATTAAATTATCAACAACACAACGTTGTTAACAATTATTCAATATTTGAACATTAACTAATCCAATACATTTTCAATAAAAAATTAGCACATTTAACATGATTAACTACCAAATCCTAATATTTCAACATGCAACAAGTAGACACGTACTAATTAAATTATCAACAAGATAGTAAAATCAATAATTCAACATTTTTCAAACAATATGTATCATTGTAAAGCAAATATTTAAGCATATTATCAATTACTAGACTTCATCATAACAATAAATAATTCAACATGATTCCAAAATTAAAAAGTTTAACTCACTAACAGTGTTACTCATTATCTGATGTAGTGATATCCGGAAGTCCGAACTTGACCAACTTCAAGAAATACATACAAGAAAAATATTTTCAGTAATACTAACATGGTTTCAAAATATAAAAAAATAAAATTCAAGAAATTCATTCTAAAAATAATATCATAGCAAATCCATCCTAAAAAATATGATAATTACAATATCATAAAATAATAAACTACAATAAAATCGCTAAATATTCTTCAAAGTCTAAATTATTGTTAGTAAACATTAACTTAGTTTCAAAATAATAAAAAATGAAGTTAAAGAACTTCATTCTACAAATAATATTATAAAAAATCCTACTAAAAATATGGTAATTACAATATTCATAAAATAATAAATTACAATAATAAAAACACTACATATTCTTAAAATATGGCAATTAAAAGTCTAAATTCAGGAAACATTAACTTAGTTTCGAAATATGAAAAATTAAAATTCAATAACTTCATTTTAAAAATAATATTAGAACAAATTTTTCTAAACAATATGATAATTAAAAAATCTAAAATAATAACCGAAAATCTAAATTAATATATTTTAAAAAATCTAATATACTTCACAAATTTAAATTAACAAAAAATTAAAAATAAAATAATAAATCGGCGACGTCCTGGCAGGACGTTCGTTCGTCGCCGGCGACGGACGAACGTCCGGACGTTCGTCCGTCGCTGTCGGGTTATTTGCCGACGTACCTCGTCGGAGAAAGGAGCTGTCGTCGTCGGAGGTGGCGGTCGCCGGCGGGGGTGGCGGTCGCCGGCGGGAGGTGGCGCGGTCGCCGGCGGGAGGTGGCGCGGTCGCCGGCGGGAGGTGGCGGTCGCTGGCGGCGAGTATTGTTGGATTGTGTTTGAAAAAGTGTTTGAATGTTTTGGTCTTGGAATGTGTGAAGTAAATGTATTTAAATGTTATGGGTATTATTGTACTTTTTATAATTTAGAACTACAAATAAAAATAATTTAGGGCTACAAATAGTACGTCCTATTACCAATACCCGACCCTTAACCCGTTAAAGCAGGTAATTACCCACGTGGACCGGTTACATTGGGGTAGGGTATCCATGAATTCGGGTTGGATTGCCATCCCTCGTCTGAACCCCCAAATCGCGATTTTTTTCTTTCTTTTCCTGGCAAAAAAAAAATTCGCGAGCCCTCTCAAATCATACTCGAGACTTCCACTATAAAGCATAAACCCTAAATCACAAACCAAATTGCAACTCCATCGGCCCTCCAATCTACATCTTTCCGAACTCCTACCTCCATTACAACACTGCGACTTTGTCCCCGTCGGGGCCGGCCATCGTTAGTCCATCCCCGCGAAGGAGAGCGCTTGCGACGAAGAATAGTAGAGGATAGCCGAAGGCAGGCCGCCGTGCCGTTTCCTCCCTTCTCGCCGTCCACGCCGACTCTGCCATAGAAATTGAAAAGGTACGTTTTCCCCTTTTGAGTTCCGCACTTCAGCTGCTTATAGAATTCGATCTATATTTTTGTTTTGATTGGAAAGATTTAGGGTTAAGGTTTCGGTTTGGGTTTTTAGTTAATTTTGACGTCTGGGTTATTCGAAATTTGTTTCCAGATATCTACTGCCGAAACTTGATTGGGCTCCCTTCTGGTGGCAATTTTCGTTTTGCAGTTAATCTGAAGAACTTGAATCAGGACTAGTAAAATGCCGGGCTCGGCAATTTTGACCCTACCAGCACCCCCTCCTCACTCGGGAGATTCTCCTCCCCCTCTCCAAGCATCGGAGCAGAACTCAAACGGGGAAGACCCAGTAATCGAGGAACAGAATGCAGCGCCAGTTGCTACTCACACTAGAACCATTGGTATCATTTATCCTCCTCTTGATATCCGGAATATCGTCGACAAAACAGCTCAGTTTGTTGCAAAAAATGGACCGGAGTTTGAGAAAAGGATCATTGCTCACAATGCCAACAATGCTAAGTTTGACTTCTTGAATCCCAGCAATGCCTATCATGCATATTATCAACACAAATTGACTGAATCGCGGGACCAGAACCAGTCTTCTACAGACCAGCCTGCTTCTGAGCTAGCAGATTCTGGTGCACCTCCCGAGTCTACTCCATCTGCTCCTTCTGCTGATGATGAGAATGAAGCAGCCCAAAAACCTGATCCTGCTGCCCAATTCAGAATACCACTTCGGAAGGTCCTTGAGCCCCCAGAAGCTGAGCAGTATACAGTGCAGCTTCCTGAAGGGATTACGGGAGAGGAACTTGATATTATTAAGCTGACTGCCCAATTTGTGGCTCGAAATGGGCAATCTTTCCTTACTGGCCTGACAAATAGGGAGATGAACAATCCCCAGTTCCACTTCATGAAGCCAACCCACAGTATGTTCACTTTTTTCACTGGACTTGCAGATGCATATTCGAAAGTGTTGATGCCTCCTAAAGGGTTGACCGAGAAGTTGACAAACAGTGTTGCTGACATGACTACTGTGCTTGAGAGATGCTTGCATCGCCTAGAGTGGGAGCGCTCACAGGAGCAGGCAAGACAAAAGGCTGAGGATGAGATTGAGCAGGAGCGTTTACAAATGGCCATGATTGACTGGCATGATTTCGTTGTAGTTGAAACCATTGACTTTGCAGATGATGAGGACGAGGAATTGCCTGTTCCAATGACTCTTGAGGAGGTCATAAGGAGAAGCAAGATAACTGCGATGGAGGAAGATGATGAAATTGTCGAGCCTGGAAAGGAGGTAGAAATGGAAATGGATGAAGAGGAGGTGAAGCTTGTTGAAGAAGGAATGAGGGCAGCTAGTATTGTTGAAGAGAATGGGAATGGTAAGAGGGATGAGGAACCAGAGCAGCCAATGAGAATCGTCAAGAACTGGAAGAGACCAGAGGAGAGGCTGCCAGCAGAGAGAGATCCAACAAAGTTTGTTGTTTCCCCCATTACTGGTGAGCTCATTCCTATTAGTGAGATGTCAGAGCACATGAGGATTTCCCTAATTGATCCCAAGTACAAGGAGCAAAAGGAGAGGATGTTTGCTAAGATTCGTGAGACCACTCTTGCTGCTGATGACGAGATCTCCAAAAACATTGTGGGCCTTGCCAGAACCCGTCCTGATATTTTTGGGACTACTGAGGAAGAAGTATCTAATGCTGTCCAGGCAGAAATTGAGAAGAAGAAAGACGAGCAGCCAAAGCAAGTTATATGGGATGGTCACACTGGAAGCATTGGGAGAACTGCAAACCAAGCTATGTCCCAAAGTCTTGGTGATGATCAGAATGATGGTATGAACGCTGACACAAGAATGCTGCCTGGCCCAGCTGCTCTTCCTCCTCCACTTCGTCCTGGTTTACCATCTCTCCGGCCGCTTCCTCCGCCACCTGGACTCGCCCTAAATGTCCCCCGCATGCCACAACCCCCAAATACCATGTCGTATTCAACTCCAATGGGTGGTGGTGGATATCCTGTCCCTCAACCAAGGCCACCAGGTATGCCAATGATGCAATCAATGCGGCCGCCACCACCTCCAATGTCAGGTCAGCAGCATATGATGATGAATCAACAACCATCCTCCATGCCGCCATCTATGAATCCACCACCTCCACCTGGCTCTCAGTTTCCTCAAATGCCACAAATGCATCGGCCTTATGCTCCTGGTCCTCCTATGCCTCCGCCACCCATGCATGGAATGCCACCTCCACCACCTTTGCCTCAGGGGCTAGTGCCTCCACCGCCTCCCCCTGAAGATGCTCCTCCACCACTTCCGGAAGAACCGGAGCCTAAGAGGCAGAAGCTAGATGATTCAATGCTTGTTCCAGAAGATCAATTTCTGGCCCATCATCCGGTATGCATTATTTGTTGTCTTTGATCTTTCTAAATACTTATCGCGGCCTTTTTTATGCGTTGAGTTGTCATTTATTGCTATTCAATGGGTTAATTTGTGCTTTCTTTTTTCAGGGACCTGCAAGCATCAATGTCTCTGTTCCGAATCATGATGAAGGGAATCTTAGAGGTCAAGTTCTGGAGATCAGGGTGCAGTCCTTGTCTGAAACTATTAGCAGTCTGAAGGAGAAGATCGCTGGAGAGATTCAACTGCCGGCAAACAAGCAGAAATTGAGCGGGAAGGCTGGTTTTCTGAAGGATAATATGACCCTTGCTTATTACAATGTTGGTGGTGGAGATTCTCTTTCTCTGACATTGAGAGAGCGTGGTGGAAGAAAGAGATGAAAAGATTGGCTCATTTTTTACTGGTGACACAAGGTTGGAGAGCTTCTTTCTATATATGAAAGGGAATTATTCTGGATACTGCGATGAGACTCCCATCATTTGACTGTCTTTTTGATGTTATGCTGGTTATCTGTTGTACTGTTAAATTACGTGGTGCTGGAGTAGTATAACTATGAGCTAACTTTTGAATATCAATTAGATGTTTCTGAGACTGATGATGGATGTGGTGTGGTATACAGATATGGCGCCTTGGCGTGGGCAGCGGGAAGTAGCACAACTTTTCCTATTTCTTAGACAGATAAAGGGCAGTGCTTGTTTATGGGTTTACTAATTTCCTCGTTGCCTTTTGGTTCTATGTTGCAGCAAATTCTCTGTGCCGTCTGATCATATTGTTGCCTGTTTGATGTTTCCCTAGAGGTACTGTGGTAAATGGTAATGGAGAGAAATGAATGCTGACAGTAGTAGCAGCAACGTGATTTTTTTTTTTTTGTTCCTGATGCTGTTGTATTATTCCTTTGATAAAAAGCCATTCACTAGGGTTTTCTTTTGCTTTTGTTCTGTTTTCTGTTGACAATTTGACACGGTTGACTGGAAGATGGATGCTGTTGATGGATGCTGAATGTCGCTCTTGTCAGCTGGGGGGGAGGTATCAGGGTTCCTAGTTTTGCTCTGTACCGGATGTGTTTGAATTAAGTTCAACAGAGACGTGAAGTTACTTCAGATCTTGTTCTTCACGCAACACCAATTTTAAGTGCTCGCGAATACTGTTTTTGATATGATGTTCTATGGTCATTACTCGTTAACTCATTTATCGATCTACCCAGAGATCCTTGTGTTTTGTAAAATCATGGTCCTTTTTATTAGGAGTACCTTCAAAATAATCCCACCTAAATGAACAAGGTCTTGGTCCGGTAAAAAAAATTAAAGACGAGTTACTAAAATATACGAATATCAGCCACTTCTATAATGCTAATGGTATAGATGTCTGATTCATGTACACCATAACTCTTGAGGAAAGGTCCTATTCTCCAGAGTTATAAACTATATCAATAATATCATTCAATTTTGTACTATCATAATTAGGAATGGGCATGTGGGTGGTTAATTCGCGGTTTGATATCGATTCACATGCAATTAAACCAAACAAAAATGGGTGGGTGATTGATATGGGTTGGGTGCCGATCGATAAATTTCATATTCACACTTATTCAGGTGAAAAAGTGTTGCGGGCCATCATAATGATCCTCACATAATTTTCACATGAAAAAGAGTTGTTCTTGTTTATACTACCGAAAAGTCGTCATATTTCCTAACCACACTGAGCATCATCTTCTAAAGGCGAAAAATAAAGAATATGTTTGTACTACTATAATTGGTTACTATTTTGTGAAATGTTTTTTAGATATTGAGATACAAATTTGAACTATTAAATGTATCAAATCATTTTCTTACACAATTGGTTGATGAAGTAATGAAAGTTTTGATACAAATAGTAAATGGATATACAGGAAAAAAAGTAAGAGGTGTCCATATTGCTACAATCTTACTACTTGCGTGTGTGCAAGTTTGAGATCGAAAGTCACCCAATCCACCTATTGCCTAATCCTAACAATAATACATAAAAGTTTCATACTTGTTAAGAAACATTAAATGTTTTAGGAACTTTATTATACCGGCCGGTCGGACCTGAAATACTTAATATTAAACCTCAAACAATAAGCGTGTTTAGCCGTTTAAATTATTAAACCACAATTTTAGTAAAATACTCTACCATTCACTTTTTTTTATATGATTTCACAATACCTCGATGTAAACCAAGGGGTCATTTGGTAGATGCGTATCTAAATGATGTATTTAATGAATGCATGTATTGTAGATAATGCATCGTTTTTTTGTTGCAAAATAAAACACAATGCATGTATTTGATTGTTGATATGACATTTGAAATCATTCAAAATGAATGATTTAGAATCTCAACTATTTGGTGAGATTTTTTAGATTGTCTCAATAGGCAAAATACACTTGTATAGCCATAACTTTCACGTTTGTGACAAATATAGCCATAATTATTCGAAAACAAAAAATAGCCAATTCCGTCCATCTCTTTAACGGTGTTACTTAACAATCTGACTGTACTGACGGAATATGCTGAGTTGGCGATTTATGGTCCCCACCAAGCCGATGTGGATTAAAAAAAATAAAATATAAAAAATCATTATTTATCTAATAATTTAGTTTAAAAACAAAAAAAAAAAATTTGCAACCTTATACCTACCGCCCATCTTTCTCCCATCTTCCTCCTACTGGACATCTTCCCCAATTCAAACCCAGATCCTCCCCTGTTCTCACCTTCCTCACAGTGACGACAAATCTAAATCCAGATCCAAATACTCCACAACCTCGATTTCCCATTCCTTCGGCAGTGATGACAGCTACCACAGTAAGACCCAACCCAAAAACGATTCCGACCTCCGCTCCGCTGCCTACGAGATCTTCCTCGCCCTCACCTGCACTTCCTCCACCAAGCCCCTCTCCACCGCCGCCGCCACCGACCCACATAACCACCACCATTTGCCTCACTCCCCCAGCTCCAGCTCCAACTCCAACTCATCTCCGTCACTCCAGCGCTCGCTCACTTCCGCCGCGGCCAGCAAGATGAAGAAAGCTCTCGGATTGAAATCCCCCGGGTCTGGGTCCAGGAAGAGCCTCGGGTCCGGGTCTAGCTTAGGAATGGCAATGGGGCAGGTCCGGGGCGGGTTTCTTGGTACCCAGACCCGCCCCGTGGCAGGGCGGGTCCAGGTCGGGTAATTGACCACGGGTCACGGGTCGGGGCAGGTCGACCCAATGGGTATGCAATTTATTTGAAAAACATTAGAAATATTCGTTATTTTTATTATAAAACTAAGAAAATAAACAATATTATGAAATTTGTAGTTAAATTATTGGAGAAATTGAGGTTTTCACTAATTTACAACTTTATTATAGCTAAAATATGATGCGATTAAAGTAACATTCATAGTAATTTGACTAAGATTTCATGTAATTTAGACAAGAACGGGTCGAGAATGAGGCGGGTCAGGGCAGGTCGGGTCGATGAGACTACCCATGCCCGCCCCGCCCCGCCTACGGGGCGGGTCGGACCCGCCCCAAAACAGGTCAAACAGGTCGGGTAAAACGGGTCAGGTCGAAATTGCCATCCCTAGTCTAGCTCTAGTCAGGGAAAGTCGAAGAAGCCATTGACGGTCGGCGAGCCGATGAGGATTCAAATGCGGGTGTCGGAGGCCGACGATTCGAGGGTTCGGAGAGCTCTTCTGCGGATTTCTGCTGGTCAGGTCAGCTTTTTGTTTTTCAATTGCGGGGTAGATCTATGTTTGACTTGAGTTCTCGCTTCAATTTTTCTCCATTTCTGGATTCTGAATTGGCCACCGTCGTTGTGGCAATGCAAATTGGACAGGTTTGCCGGCGAATCGAGCGATGGTGCTACCGCTGGAGAGGTGGTTGGGAGAGGAGAGGGAAAGAGGAGGAAGAGGAAGCGAAGAGAGAGATGATTAGGGATGGCAATCAAACCCATGGCCGCGGGTACCCGACCGCCCCATACCCAGTCAACGCGGGGAATCCCCGCTTTGACCGGGTATGGGGAGGGTATGGGTAAAACCCGCAAAAGGTTTGATGGGTATGGGGCGGGTATGGTTTTAGCCTCCCCCGCCCCATACCCATACCCATACCCGCCCCACCAATAGAATTTCTTCACATATCAAAAAATACGTGGATTAAATTGTAATCTATCAATGATGATGATGATAACTCAAGAAAATAAATAATAGAAATGCAATTGAGTAACCACCTTAATCAAACCTAATTCATTTCACTCAATTCTCCTTCCACTCTTTCACTTTCCCCCTTGTCAACAAAATTATGTTAGTTAATTATTACTTAGTAAATGTATCAAGGGTTAGAGCATAATAATTTAAAAAATATTATAGTCTATATTATGTATTAATGGATGTTTTAGGATCATATTCTTTGAATCGTATTTAGAAAATGACCGTGTTTTGTTGACTTCGTGATATAATAGGTTTGTTTATGGTTATAATTAAAACTTTTCTTGTAAGTTTTAGGTATAATAATGTTGGATGTACGGGGATGGGTATTACCCATGGGTACCCGAAACCCACGGGTATGGGGATGGGTTTGCAAAACATTCCCCGCATGGGTATGGGGCGGGTATGGGTTTGGGTATTTGAAGATGGGGATGTGGATGGTTTAGGCAAACCCGCACCAAACCCGCCCCATTGCCATCCCTAGAGATGATTGGAGGAGGAGAGGGAAAGGGATTTGGGCAGAAGATTGTTGCCGGGGGAGGAGAGCTAGATTTTTTTTATATAATTTCAAAATTAATTATTATTGTAATTCAAAATGACATGGGAATGATTTGATGACTGGTCGCTGACGTGTCCGACGATTTGGCATCCTAGTCAGCCTAACGTTAATCTAACTAACGGAGTTTCTAACACCGTTAAAGTTTCTAACGGATTTGGCTAGATTTGTCACACTACCCTCAGTTTTTTGGGCTATTTTTGGTTTTCGAATAGTTATGGCTATATTTGTCACAAACGTGAAAGTTATGGCCATACAAATGTATTTTGCCTTGAGATTATGAATCAACTTTTCTTCTCTTTTATGTCCTTATCAACTTTTATATGTGATTGACTTTTATATCTAAAAAGAAGAGTAAATGTGGCTTTTCATTCAAAAAGTGGATTTCCTACTACATTCCTAAAAATACAATCACAACTACCAAATATTATAATCTTAAAATGCAATACATCAATTTATAATACATACATTCATACAATACATAAATTTTAACAATGGCAAATACCAAAAGTTTATCTTGTTTAAAAGTCATCTTGCGGCCAATTGCCCAGATTGAAAGCTAGTTTTCAATTGATTTCTCTTTTTTCCTTCGGTCTCGGTTCTTACGTGTAATCAAGTAAAAGCACAGTAACGTCTTTAATATTTCCTCATCTTTGCGGGTGAGGAAGGCAGAATGGAGACGTTGCGCAGTTGAAAGCCGCGGAAAGGAAGTGAAGTGTAGAGTGAGATGAGATCGTCTACCAACTTCCTCACAGTTGAATCGATCGTCCGTCGGCACTGAGAGATAGAGAGATAAGAGTCTCATCTCCTTGACTCCTTACACCTGAAAGCTTTCTCCTCTCGCAGTCTTGCTCGCAATTCAGTAATGGCGAATTCTAAACTTGGCATCCCTCTGCTCCGCCGTCTGCGGGAAACAGGAACGAGATGGATGTCATCATCCGCTGCCGGGACCAGATTCGCCGCGCTGTGGGGGAACGGTGATTATGGCAGGTTGGGATTTGGTAATTTGGATTCTCAATCAACGCCCAAGCCTCTTTTCCCGTCATCCTTCCGAGACCAAACGCTCAAGTCTATTGCCTGTGGCGGAGCTCACACGCTCTTCTTAACAGGTATTTATTCTTCTTCTTATCATCATATTCTTGGTGCTGGAATTGAATTGTCATTCTGTGAAATCATAGTAAAATACTACAAGGAAGCAGTGTGTTTGAGATTTTCCACGACTAGGTTTATTTCAATAGATAATTAGGGATGGAGTGCTGGTCTCTGTTGCATGATGTTCTGATCGAACTTAGTCGGCCATAAAAATCGTTGCGTCTGGTCACATGGCACAATTTGGAATGGCTTTGATGCCCTGCTTGCTGCGATGGATGTTTTTTTCCCTGTGTATTTGATTAGCATTACTATTCATCCTAGCTCCCTGATTTTTTTTGAGAATTTGTGGATTTGTCAGCCTTAAATCAGAGTAAGGCTTACAAAGTGTAGTCTTCTTTGACAGAATCTGGGCAAGTTTTTGCCACTGGTCTTAATGATTTTGGACAACTTGGCATATCAGACAGCAGTAGTTATGTGACGGTACAGTACAATATCGAATATCTTGATCTTCTTTAATATAATCCATATAAATTTCTTTCCTGCTTCAAATTTTATGGATGGCTTTTTTATGTGCTAGGAGCCTAGGACTGCACTTTGACCTGTTAGGAGTCTCCACTTCTTTGTTAGGCTAGCAGAAAGGAACGGGTTGACTTAAAGTTTTGTTATGGCTTTTAGATTATAGTTGCTAGTAGGACGCTCGCTGACACAATGTATTTCATGAACAATGGGTTTCGTTAGAAGTCGCAAGATGGATTGCAATTATTCAGCTCTCCATCTACTACCCACTTGCTTTAGATTGTGATGATTATGGTTGTTAGTTAGAGATGTAAACTGTCAGAATGGAAGCCCTTGCCTTCACTGTCATTCAGATGGTGGTAGGATTTCCTACAGACATTTTATTGCTAGCTTTGTCTTGCTAGTGAAGGAATCCATTGAAATTAATCACCTTGGATCTCATCCTGACCCAAGAAAGCTACCTATAGTTTCCTAATGGGTATCAATGTTTGATTAGCGTGGCTATCGGATTATTGTTTTGAGTTATGATAAAAAAAGCCTCTTAGCACATGCCAGGGGGCAGTGAAAAGAAAAGAAATGAAAAAAGAATAGCACTCTTGAAGACAGTTATCTTCTAGAGAATTGGACGATTAGATGTGATGCCCGTTTCCTTTGTAAGAAGTCATTAGTATAGACCCTTATGCTGTCCTTTAGCTTGTTACTCTGTTTCTCATGGTCCTATACGTAACATATAATATTATTATTGACTAAATTATCTATAATTTGCACCAATAAACTACAGCGACATAAAAAACTAACTGAAAGGATATATGAAGAAAGAGATTAATGACTTTCGTTAGTAGCTGATTGCCTTGTCTATGTGGTTGGTTTTTGTGAACAACAATTGTTTCATTAGTTTGATCTCTTTCGTGATTTTACAGGAGCCGGTGGTAGTTTCAGGACTGGAGAAGGAAATTGTGCAAATTTCTGCTGGTTATCATCATTCTGGTGCTATCACAGGTTAGCTGGTTCAACAACAATTATTGTTTGCATAAACTGCAAATTTCCAGTTCCAATGTTAAGACATAAAAGTTGAAAGAGGGCATGTGAAAAGTTGTCCCCTGCTGAAATGGAGGTGAAAGAACATTAATACCTTCGATTCGGTGAAGGCAATATGTGGAATGGAAACACCTTTTTATTTCTTATGACGGTCAGTTCTGTAACCCTGATAAGAAAACCATCATTTACTTGCTAAAGTATCTATGTGGATGACAATGAAGAGTAATCTAGGTACTCAGGGATCCAGCATAACATTCAACACGAAGTATGTTATTTCACAGACGATTACTAGTTTACATATGAAGTCATTCTGGATTTGTTTTTTCAATATACAGAGAGCTCAATGCATTCACTGAACCCTAACTTCTAACTGTAATCATTAACCAGGATCGCTGTTTCTTAGTCAAGCATTTTTTATGGATCTGTTCATATTAGTTCAAGTGGAATCATATCCTTCGTATTCTTATGGATCTATTTGAAGTGATATTGTCCTCGTCTTTCTGCTCTATGCTTCATTTTTATCTAATTAGACATGTTTGTTTCTCTCTTGCAGTCGATGGAGAACTCTATGTCTGGGGAAGAAACTCAAATGGACAGCTTGGTCTGGGAAAAAGTAATTTTGCTTGGAATGTTGATTATATACCAGCTACTTAGTTGGCTTCCTTTTGTGTAGTTAATTAGTTGACGAGCAGGCGTTTTTGTCCTTGACCTGGAGGATGTAATGCATTAAGTGTTGTATGCAGAGGCGGGAAAATCAGTTTGTATACCAACAAAAGTAGAATTGTTGAGTGGGATTTCCATCAAAATGGTAGCTTTGGCTTCGGAGCATTCAGTTGCTGTTACTGGTTAGTACTTAATAGAAGGAGAAGATCTCTCTTGTTCTTCAATGCTAGTTCTTTCGACTTACAAGGATTAGATTGTGTGTAAAATCTTCAATAGTTCTTACTGCTGAACAGATGATGGTGATGCCTTGAGCTGGGGAGGAGGTGACTCTGGACAGCTTGGTCATAGCGGTGAAGCAGGCATTCTGGGATTCCTGAAAAGCAAGAGGTTTGATTTAGTGTTTCGGTTTCTTCTTTGGATCTCCTTCAGTTTCTCTTGGTCATAGCACTGATCTTGGCTTATGGACATCTGTGGACTATTTCTCTGCTAATAATTGTTCTCCTTGGAATCAATTTAAGACCCAAACTGAATTATGCGGTATAATTTTCCTTGTAATGCTAGGTCCCCCATCTTGTTAGATTCATAAGCTGACAATTAGTTTTTTTACTTTCTCCTTCCTAGAGACGCTGAAAAGCTAAAACGACACTACTTATGTTTTCTTTTGTACAACTTTCTTAAGCATTTAAATGTCTTTTAATGCAGTGAATATGTACCACGGCGCATTAAGAAACTTGAGGGTTGTAAGGTGATTCTTGTTTAAATTTGAACAGTAGATTGATGTATTTCTATTGAATGTCCTGTTTAATAATTTATGGTCTCTTTGCCCTCTGTTTTTTTCTTTGGCGACTCTGATGAATGCTTTAGGTGAAAAAGGTGTCTGCTGGCTTGCTTCATACAGCATGCGTTGGTGGTAATTTCTTTTAGAAGGTTATCTTGATATCATCGATTTCTGGTATTTTCTATGCTTTGTCAATCATATCTATTGCCTTTCCATTACCACTTTTTGCAGAAAATGGATCTGTTTTCATATTTGGTGAAAGAGCTGTCAGTAAATTGGTATGCACCAAGAGTGGTTTCCTGTTTGTTTATTGCTTTCTTTAGCAACCTGAACTATGGCCATTCATTTAGGATTTAACTTTGTTTTTTCTCTGGTATATGTAGCGCTTTGGAGATGAAAAAAATGCCAATACCCCATCCATGCTTGATATGCTGCCATCTTCTGAAGAAGTTGCATGTGGTGGCTATCACACTTGTGTTGTCACAGGTAATTCCTTGAAAGTTCAGGATTCCATAGCTTGTTATAATTATAAGCCATTTAAGTACCGATCCAGTAAAATCTGCAAGGAAGAAGTTTTTGTTCGTGTCTCCACTAGTAGTCTTGTTTAGTACTCCCTAACTCTGAAATATCGGCCAAATCCTCAAGAAATGCAACTTATTACATTCGCAAGAAAATTAACAGAGAACCTTTTTTATGCTTCTTGGTCCTTAACTGTGAAGGTGAAGAGATTCATTCTTCGAGTTGGAACGTTTCTGGAAAATCATTTTGGTACCCTATATGTGAACTTACAAGTATTTGTGTAATCAGTCTTTCATTCTTGAATAGGTGCTGGAGAGCTGTACGCTTGGGGCTCAAACGAAAATGGTTGCCTTGGTATCGGGTATTGTCGTTGAACCTTGAAGTTAAGAACTAGAATTTGGCTTGTCTCCCCTTCTAAGAGTGATTATATAATTTCCTGCCAATTGAGTTGAGTTGTCTTTGTTTACAGCACCATTGATGCCTTTGGTCTACCAGAAAAAGTCGAAGGACCTTTCCAGAAATCATCTGTCGACAAGGTATACAAATTGTCTGCCTGTTGACTATTAACAAAAAAAATTATCCGACGGTTACAGCAAGTAGGAAACTAAGAACCAAATTTCTTAAGATAAAATATACTTCCAATAACTTTCATCCTGCGTTTTCACCCTCCCACAATTTTACTCAGGGACAACCACCAATTTCAACCTGTTTAAGTAATCACTCCTGCCAACAATCACCATTCTTTTTCCTGGACATAGGGTAATAAGCATTCTGATGATCCACTAATTCCAATCTGACAGGTATCCTGTGGTTGGAAGCACACTGCGGCTATATCTGGTCAGTGCTTTTTGCTTAATCCTAAACTTAACACATAGTTCGTTCCAAGTTTAATAAATTACCTAATTATTTTCACGATAAGGTAGAAGAATGCTGTTACAGAACAGTTGAAGTGATTTTATCTGTCTGTTTTTTCGCACGCAGAAGGCAAAGTCTTCACCTGGGGTTGGGGAGGCTCTCATGGAACATTTTCAGAAGACGGTCAATCTTCTGGAGGCCAATTGGTTTGTAACCACCATCCATTGTTTTCGTGGGCTACATTTCATTCTCTGAAGCAAAACCATGGTCTTACTTGAAATTCACTTGTCTTCCTGGGGCTAAAGTTCGTTACGTTTTGATACACAGGGACATGGAAGTGATGTAGATTATATAAACCCTACGGTTGTAAATTTCGGCGAAAACGTGAGAGCTGTGCAAATTTCATGCGGGTTCAATCACACTGGAGCCATATTGGTCATGGAAGACTGAGACTGGTCAGAATATCTTATACAACACATTCATTCATTCACTCACTGACTCACTGACTTGATATATAAGTACATAGATGTTGTAGTAAATAAATAATCGTGTACATTTGCATCTTGTGTAGACAGGTTAATGCAAATGACTGTACAAACGGTTCTGTTGTGTAGTAACTTAGTAACACTACTCATTTAGAGCAGTGTTTTGGACCCCTACATTGATTTCTCACAGTCCAAAAACTGGATGGAGCTTAGGCAATACGAGGCACATGATCCGGTCACGTAGCTAATCAGTTCATACTATTCTGCAAACTACACTGAAGCAGTACATGAAAGATCATAGGATCGGAATTCGTATTAACACCGATATTTTTAATGGTACACTATTGCTTTTCTTCTCTGTTCTGTTACAAGGCCTTTCTTTCCCTTCAAACTGCCAGTTTCCTTGTCATCTGACAGTTGGGCCTGGCTAGGGAGCAAAAAGATTTACTCTAGGAATCAATAATGTGCTTTTGTGAGTGTGATCGACTCCTATATACCAAACAAAAAGATTAGAAACAAGTATCGTGAGAAGCTAAGGCAATGTTAATGAAGCAAAAAAAAAAAGCCGTGGTGACGAGCTTTGTTAATCCGAGTCGAATGAGGACTCGTCGTCTGGATCCGGAACTCAGGAGAGGTTGAGAGCCAATTGCTGCAGCAGGATCTTCCGTTGCGATGTGTTGATGATTCCTTTGCACTCTGCGTCCGCCAATACTTCTGTCATTATCGCAACTGCGTGCCCTCTTGGCTCCTCCAGTGTTCTCCTCAACATGAAAACCTGCACCAACCGCAAGAGGAATAAACACCAAAAGAAAACCCAACTATAACTGAAACTCCGTCTCGCGCAGCAACAAAACTTCCACAACACATTATCACTTGATATTTTTTTTGGTTCGTCATTCTGATACAATTATCATTCCTTACCTGGCTGTCGTGTTTGATTTCTAGACAACCCGGTTGGTGGATGAATGGCTCCCCGTCTATCTGGACTGGGAATGAACTCGAAGCGTGTATTCTGATAACATTCCCTTGTGCTAACCTCCTTGCTTGCGAAAGTCCAACCTAAACCCAGAATTACAAAGAAGAAAAAAACTAGGTTACAGCTAGTGCATTTGGATCTGCAAATCACTTGGCAACTAAACAAAGTGAGGCGATGTATGATTTTACAAGATGAGAGGAACAGCATATGAGAAAAGATAAGACATTTTGGCCCTTCAACAAAGTAGTATTCGCTATTGAGTCTCTGAACTATGTTGCTAAATTTCAAGGGATTTCAATAGTAAGCTCCTAGTTCACATGCTGAATTGTCGTACATCTCAATTAAAGAAAACACCTATGCCTGACCTGTGGTTAACAACATTCGGTATGATGGAGTGTACAACTCAATACCTGGATTTTCCCAAGGTGCCAGGCTCCCCGAACGCATACAATCTCGAGCATTTTATCTTGCATGGACTGAAGGGTAAAATCATCATCATGCTCATAATCATTTTGCCACAGATCCACTCCACCCATGTAGCTGCCAATGTTCAGGACAATTAAACCCTCAGTATCCTGGACGGCAGGAAAACAGAAGGATTTTGAAAATATAAAAATTGTATATTTCTCAAAATCAAAGCCACATAAATAGAGAACTTGAACTGCAATGTAAGATATGGCGGTGCATGCATACCTTAGGGATCTGAACGTCCTTTCCATCAACTTCAAGCCACACTTGCCATGGCAAATCTGCACAAGCTCTGTCCATTATGTCCCTCGCACCTTCTTTAGCATATCGTAATTTATTCACAAACTGACCAGCACAATACAATACCAAAGTTACCAAGATGAATACATACATGATTTCTTCATAATAAACACAATGTCTCCCCAACTCTTCAGGCATATCGTAGTTTACCTGACTGCTAAATTTTTCAGGCTTTTCCTGCCGAGTTACATGAAATTCATACGCTAGTTTAGCATCACACCCAATCCCTGCAAAAATCAAACTCAGCCAATGAGTGATTGCCATGCAATAGTCGAGAATCATGTAAGATAGTTGCAACCACCACCAAGGGTAGATTGATACCTAAATAGTTAATCATGAACTTTGATTGTTCGTTCTTCGTGTGCCCTTCTAGGTTCTCCTCTATAATATTTACTTTCCATCTATCTAGCATTGTAACTGCAGCATGGTCGACCTCGTGCAAAATAGCACACAAGCCACCTTGTCGCTTTGCCATTTTGAAACTTCTCCCCCACTGCAATACCCTTGACAAATCATTCCCCGTGCCAAGAGGAAGCACAGCAACAGGGGGAGGGGATTCGAAATTATGCCTCTCGATTGCATCGAGGACCCATGCAACTGTGCCATCTCCACCACAAACCAGAATCCTGAAATACTGCACATCGCTGAACAGCTGCAAACCAGCCTCAGGCCCTTGAGAAGAACTTAGTTCAAACACCTGTAGTACGGCAATGCTGATCAGTAATCCATTCATTTACAGAAACACAAAGGGTGAATTGCATATAAAGAAACTAGATAGCATGGAAAAGATTACTCCATTGAAGCAATAATTTAACCAATTATAGTACAATGTCAATTTTAAATGTCTCATTGCTGTCCTGTAGGATTAACTAAAATGAGTCCCAAAGCAGACATGTCGCACCAGATGAGAACAAGGGCCAATTTGAGCAATGGAAAAAAAATAAACAAAGGGGTGAAAGAAGAAATGCATTTTGCTGTAAACATATCTCAATGAAAGTGACTACTGGTAATAAAGAGCTTAGGCATGAACCTGAGCCGGATTTAACAGCAAGTTCAGCCTACTTCGGAGAGAAGAACCGAGTTGTCCTCCACTCTTGAAATTAATAAAAACAAGAAGGGGTCTTGCATCCTGAGATAGATTGACCAAAGCATATCTTTTAAGTTGACTGTTGAAGGTAGTTCCATCTTTCTTGTGTGTCAATCCATTGACTGGACCATTAGATCTGCCATCCCTCTTGTTGCGATTGTTGCTGGTTTTGTCACTTCCGGATTTCTTCAGATTAACAAGCCCATTTAGCAAATAATCCAGGGCCTTAGTTGTAGCTGATGGTGCATCTTGCAACTTACCATTGGCAGAGTGATTGTTTCCATTTTTACCCCGGGTGCGCCTCCTTCTCAGCTGTCCACGAAATGTAGAAACTGGGATTTCCTCTGGGGTAGAACTTGAAGAGCCTTTATCATCCAGGTCCTTCACACAGAGTGGAGAGAGAATAATTCGACTTAGGGGACCCAAATCACAAACATCTCCAGATTCTTTTGACAACTTAGAATGGCATTTGACATGTATAAGCCGCTGACACCATAGGCAGTGCCACGTGGGCGAGTCAGTAACGAAAGGAACGCCACAAGGATCATCACAGTAACAACAAAAGGCAGACATCTCTGATATTTCCTCCATTTTAGACCATCTCTCCGACCATTGGTGCTGGACTTGAATGAATCCAGCTTGGGCGACGCACTTGCAGTCCTTTGCAGCAAACTCCGAACAGTAGAAATGAGCAGCAACACCGCAGACAGAGCAACGATGGACCGAAGAGGTACTGTGGGGTGCAGATTTCGATGCGTTAGTTGGTGACACTAAGGAAGTGAGGCAAACACAGCAAGTGGAAGGCAGCCTAATCTGTGCTAAATCTTCCATCCACGAATGAGATGATCGAGGAACATTCAGTTTCTTCCAAGCTTCTTTCTTTGCTCTAGCAGCTGCTTTAACCCAATTCAGTGATGTCCTTCTCTGCCATATAAGGATCGCATACGCAAGTGCCAGAACACCCAATGCTGCAGTTAAGAACCACCGGAAAAGAAACGGGCCATATGACTCGGAGCTGGTCATCAGCCTCCAAACAAACGCGGTTCCTTCTTCAAACATCGTGGCGCCTCTAGTTGATCATAACCCACCTAAGGACAGACATAATGGAGAACATTACTAACTGAGAAGTGTGAGGGAAATGAAAAGGAGGGAATTGCAATACAATTCTGCATTCGTGTAGAATCCTCCAAATATTTATAGCTATCGGTTATCTAAGGAGGAATAACCTGAATCAGATGACCACGGGGAGAAATGAAGCAACACAGAGACTTGAATGCACAATTAGAAGCTGAATTGAAATCTCTCGTTATCTAGATACACAGAAAGTAGCAATGAATTGAAGCAAATGCCAACAAGAATTAGCAGCAAAGCCAATTCCAAGTCGCCCAAAAGATCCAAAACAAACCATCTGAGGTTTCTAAAGATCAGCTGGCCTATGCGGAATTCTAAAAAAAAAAAAACAAAGCGGCATTGGATCTACCGCAAGCTCACAGGCGTTTTCCACCATTGAAACAATGTCGGGACTCGAAAGGTATAGAGAATCATAAGATCTCATTAAAATGACAACAGAGAGAGAAAGCGAGCGATCGGAACCTGGAACAGAAGAAGGAGATCGATGAGAACGGCGGAGAAGGAGACACATTCTTGTGTTGATTTCTTCTTCTGGTGCTGCTGCTATCGCTGCTGGCTACATTTGAATCGCTTTCCAGGTTTCCTGATTTGTTTGTTTGAGAGCTTCCATGAACGATGAACGTGCCTTTGCGCGGAAAGGAACGAAAGGGAGAGGAGGGGAAGATCGAGAGAGAGAGAGAGAGAGAGAGAGAGAGAGAGATTGAGCGGAAAGGGAGAGGAGAAGAAAAAGGAAAAAAATAAAAATAACGAAAGGCGGGATTTTCCTTCAGCGCCACGACCGCTGCTTTAGATTTGGGTTTCATTTCATCTTCTTTTCCTTTCTTTGTTTGCTTAACCCTCCGATTTGGAATTCACGCAAATCGCAATTTTGGATTAATTCACCTCTCATCCCTCAACCTTTAACTCTTTACTATCATAGTTAGGAATGGCCATGCAGGTAGCAACGTTATATTCTTCGTGGCAGGTTGAGTATATGTAGTAGCCAGTAGGGTAATTTATTACCGAAAAGGATTGCAGCAAGTCGACTCATATGAATATGTAATTTAAAAGAAAAATATTAGAAATAATAATTTTTTCATTAAAAAATTAAGTAAAAAGTGTAATATGCTAAATATAATTAATTATTCAAAAAATTTAGATTCTCACATATTTTAC